TAAATAAATATAAATATATATTATATATTATACATAGGACAAAATCATTGGCGATCAGTTCGATGCAATACTGCATTGAATACTGTATCTCAAGACCTGACCACGAGTTCAATTTATTAGACATTTTGCTCAACTACAGCGATAATGTTAACCGGCTGATGAGGTGTTTGCTTTAGCGTGTATGTGGTTTGATTTAGATTTAGGTTTTTTCAAAAACATGCTAAATCTTTTCACGCATCTTTTTTTTCTTGTTTTACCTTATATTTAGTAAAGTATATCTATAGATGTTCGTATTGAATTTCCTTATAGAGTATTAAAAATCAAATTCGCATCGCTTTATGCGAGCAGTAGTTTACCTCTAGAATTAACATCTGTCGCGCTGTCTGATTCTGTAACCATCCAATATGAAGACTCACATTAACGCTGCATCTCTTCCATTACAGAGTGTTTCGGATTGTCTGGCCTGTTGCCGCCTCATTTCACACGCTCTACGAAGTTCGACGCGAGCTTCCGGAAGCTCTCTCGTCTTCTGCGATTGTTTGAGACGTTGGGAAATTATTTAGCCGAGAAGAAATCTAGGATATTGTCTGTGCTTGCTTTTTACTGTGTTTTACAGAGCGTATACTAGACTGCTTGTAGAAACTGACAAGGGAGGATTTCTGGAAGATCTGTGATACCAGAGGAGTGAGGACGCATAAAGAATGTAGGGGCCAAATCACATGAACGAAACGGTAAAGAACGTCTGTCGATGTAAGGAGAGAGAGGAGGCCAGATAGTGATGAATGGCCAGAATGCACACACGACGAGCAAAACCACGCCTGGAACGGGAGAGCAAACGTGGGGCCGCGATGAGTAGGACTGCTCTCACTCTCTCACTCTCTCACTCTCTCACTCTCTCTCTCTCGCACTCTCTCACTCTCTCACTCTCTCACTCTCTCACTCTCTCACTCTCTCACTCTCTCACTCTCTCACTCTCTCACTCTCTCACTCTCTCACTCTCTCACTCTCTCACTCTCTCACTCTCTCACTCTCTCACTCTCTCTCTTTCTCTCTCTCCTCATTCTGTACACTCCCGTGACCGTGAAAATGATCTTCTTGATGTTATGAGGTTATAGAGTGAATTATAGTTAAATGAAAAACGAATTATGGAAATTTGAGGTTGTAGAACATTGTTGCTCGCAGCCGTGGGCTGCTAATGAAACTGCAGCCATAACTCTCGCGCTCATAGATCTCAGAGATTTCAACGTGTATTTAATGCGCGTATTTTATGTAAGTATCTTTATCAAAACTGCTGACATAATAACCTGCAGGAGCGTCATAATCTTACTATAAATTCTGTATTCATATCAGGAGTAGATAATAGGGAATTTTATCTATTTATTTCCTGTCATCTACTCCTGATTTATATTAATGTATTCGACGATATATTACAACGATTCTGATAACAAGCGAACGCCGTGCGTTGGAAAGAGACGTTGAGGTTTTCGCTTCTTTATAAACGCGTCTGCGGAGAATGTGGCCGTAAACAGGCGATAACAAAGAAGAAGAAGAATAAAAAGAAGAGGAAGAAGAAGAGAGAAAGAAGAAGAAAGAAGAAGATGAATAAGAAGAACAGGAAAAAAAAGAAAAAAAAGAAGAAGAAGACGGACAAAAAGAAGAAGAAGAAGAGAAACTAATGACGCTTACTTTTTGTCACCAGTATCATCTCGACACGGCCGGACCATCCTGGGTTCAGGTGCCGGGACAGTTGTCACAGCTCTCTGTGGGTCACGGAGTGCTGTGGGGCGTGAACGTGCTCTTTTTCATCTTTGTCCGGCGCGGTAGGTGTGGTCCTCTATGCAAACCCAAAAATATTATTGTTTAGTGTTGTTTTATTGAAAAACGTGCATAGTTTGGTTCGAAGAAGCTTCAAGCTTGAACCCGTTGGCAGAAACAGTAGTTACGACATGGAGAACTCGGAAGCGTATGTTAACCGACCTCTATTACCCCGTATATAAGAGCCTGTTCTGCTAGCATCTATGACAAATACGACGTACGCATATACGCTCTCCTATGACACAAATATTGTTGTATGTGTTGCGCGCATCATAGGAGTTTAGGAGCGCTATTATTAACGCAAGCATGGAATTTGAGCTGTAAAGCGGAACGAAGTTGACTCGCCAATATTTGTCATAGGAAGAATCTTCCTATAACAAATAGTGTCATAGGAGAGCGTATATGCGTATGTCGTATTTGTCATAGATGCAAGCAGAACATGTTGCATATAAGCTGCTACTGTCCGCGCGTATAAACGTTATTCCTAACAGTTCTAAATCAACATAGACTACACAACTAAACTAGACACCAAATTAAAAGTTAAAAATGTTTTTTCATGAAGTTTGCAATTAGTATCAATTAGCGAACAGTTCTTACTATTATATTTTCTCGGCTGTAAAACGTTTTTTTATATTCCATTTCTCAACAAACGCGCATTACAATAAAATTATACCTAGTACGAAAAAATGCCAATAATTGCCACGTGACTTGCAATTTTCTATAGCGAATATATCTAGTAGAACCTTCTAATATGCTTTACTTTCTGTTGGAACTGTCGTTATCACTTGAACCTTATTTTCAGGTATTACTACGTTGACCCCGGAAGGCACACATTGGGAACGGATTTCTGGAAGTTTGAAGCAGATCAGTGTTAATACACACACTAATGAAGTGTGGGGAGTCAATAGCAACAACGTCATCTACCGTCGTCAAGGCGTAAGTACAGCATTAGATTGCGCTAACTTAGCACGCTTCAAAGCGGGCCTGGCCCACCTCTATTTTCGGGGCTAACTTAGTCCGGACGCGCGTGTATTTAGCGTGGGATAGCGTGTACACACTGAAAAAATTTAGCGCGCGTCTGGACCGGACTAGTTTGATGTAGGATCAAATTTGCAGTCTGTACGGGGTATAAGTTAGCAGCATAAGAAAAGCTGAGTAAGCATGTTTATATATAACACTATAGCATATATTTATTCGTCTCTGTTTCCTTACGGAGATATGTTAATGAGGATGTTTAGCTGCTGGTTTGTCTTTGTTTTCGGAACTACGATTTACATTTTGACATTTATACGCGCAGATAACGAGCACGAATTATGTCGGCACGTCGTGGCAGCAACTCGATGGATCCCTGACCTCGGTATCTGCTGGACACGCCGGAGTCTGGGGCACAAATAGTGCAAATGCCATATATTACAGAGTGGGGACCGGAAACGGAATAGGAACGGCCGGTAGGTCAATCGATCTAACATCGGGATACAATAACCGATAGATAACCGAACCTTAGCAGAAATACTTTTAAGAAATTAGAATGATAGCTGACTCATTAAGTATGGTCGTTCGGTTGGTAGATAATAGATCTATCTAGGTTAATTTTTATTCAACCGTAAAGATTAAATGGAGGACTCTCTTGAATCGTCACGGTTGAGCAAAAATTAACCAAGATAGATCTATATGATGGCTGATTTTTCATCTATTCCGTTGATTGGTTTATCCGACGTCCGGTTGCTCGTCGGATGTTGCGAGCGCTTCTCTTGGATTCAGTCTGAAACCGGATCGTCCTGCGTGCCATTAAAACACGATTATTCTCTCTCTCCCTTGCTCTCTCGCTCTCTCGCTCTCTCGCTCTCTCGCTCTCCATCTCTCTCTCTCCCTCTCTCCCTTGCTCTCTCCCTCTCTCGTTCTTTCTTCCTCTCTCTCTCTCTCTCGGTCTATCTATCTATCTCTCGCTCTCTCGCTCTCTCGCTCTCTCTCTCTCTCGCTAACGCGTACGATGCCACCACTGCTCGCAGGTGACAGCTGGGTACAAGTGCCGGGATCTCTCGTGCGGATTAGCGTTGGCATCGGCATTATCTGGGGCATCAACGGCGGCGGCCTCATCTTTATTCGTCTTGGTGAGTTAGTTTTACTATCGTCAGATGTCGCCACTTGTCGTCGTTTTCATCGAATCACTTATATTTTGTTCTTCTGACTCCCCTCCCCTCCCCCTGCCAACCCGTTAAAACCCCACCATCTGCCTCCCCTCCCCCTGCCAACCCGGCAAACCCCACCATCTGCCTCCCCTCCTCCTGCCAACAACACAAACCCCACAATCTGCCTCCCCCTCATCCTCATCATGCCAACCAAGCCAACCCCACCATCTGCCTCTCCTCCCCCTGCCAATCCAGGAAACCCCACAACTTACCTCTCCTCTGCCTAACCGCCTTCCGTAGGAGTAAATAATAATAATAATAATAATAATTATTATTATTTATTTCTGGTATTACCAATACCGTGACGATATACATACACCCTACAGCGTACAATCTACAAATGTTTCGATGTGTTAATGGTATTAGACATACACGTACTGCATATCTATGTCCCCGGCCACTGTCGATGACGCGATGCCTTCTGCACATTATATTTGCTCTGAATTGATCTTATTTGTCTCATTATACGCCTGTCAAGTTGTTGTGTCTACTTTTGTCTTGCTCTGTCCACTACTGTCTTGCTCTGTCCACTACTGTCTTGCTCTGTCCACTACTGTCCTGCTCTGTC